CGAAAAGGAATCATGAAGGTGTTCCGCGGAGCGCTTGTGGTGCTGAAAGGCGAAAAGATAGTTGCAAACTTGTATATGCTGAAGGGAGAGACTTTTCTAGAAGTAGAAGCCTCTGTTACCTCATGTAGTTCAGATTCTGCAATGATATGCCATTAGAAACTTGAACACATGTCAGAACAAGGAATGAAAGTCCTTGTGGAGCAAAAGCTACTTCCAGGCTTAACAAAGGTAACACTTCCTTTGTGTGAGCATTGCATAATAAATAAGCAACACCGGTTGAAATTCAACACGTCAAATTCTAAAGGCAAAAGTGTTCTAGAATTGGTTCACTCTGACGTATGGCAAGCACCAGTTACATCCCTAGGTGGAGTAAAATACTTTATCTCATTTATTGATGACTATTACAGGAGATGTTGGGTGTACCCTATTAAGAAGAAGTCAGATGTGTTTTCAACTTTCAAAAACTTCAAAGCGCGGGTGAAACTTGATTCTGAAAATAAGATCAAGTGTTTCAGAACAGATAATGGAGGAGAATACACAAGCGAAGAATTCGATGACTTTTGCAGGAAAGAAGGCATCAAAAGACAGTTCACAGTGGCGAACACTCCTCAACAAAATGGAGTGGCATAGCGGATGAACAAAACCTTGTTAGAAAGAATAAGAGCGATGTTGAGGGATGCAGGCCTAGAAAAATCATTTTGGGCAGAAGCAGTCAATACCGCCTGTTATTTGGTGAATCGAGCTCCATCAACTGCAATAGAGCTGAAGACACCAATGGAGATGTGGACTGGTAAACCAACTGATTATTCAAACCTCCATGTATTTGGAAGTATTGTGTACGTGATGTACAACTCCCAAGAAATCTCAAAGTTGGATCCAAAATCCAGGAAATGCAAATTCTTGGGGTATCCTGATGGAGTCAAGGGGTATCGTTTGTGGGATCCCACTGCCCGCAAAGTAATCATCAGCATGGATGTTATCTTTGTAGAAGATAAGCTACAAAGAAAAGAAGACGATGATAGCACTAAAAAATAGAGACTACACAGATACATGTGGAAAATGAGGTTGAACAAGGAGATTCTTTTGAAGCAGAACCAGCACATGATGAACAAGAACCAGAGAGTTCTGAAGCTCCAATAACTCACCAATCAGATCGTGTGAGAAGACGTCCCAATTGGCACTAAGATTATGTTATAGAATGTAATATTGCATACTGCCTTTTAACATAGGACGGTGAGCCATCAACATACCAGGAGGCAATAAACAACTCAGATGTTTCACTGTGGATAATGGCAATGCAAGAATAAATCGAAGCCCTTCATAAAAATAATACATGGGACCTTGTGTCACTACCACAAGGAAGGAAGCCAATTGGTAACAAATGGGTCTTCAAAATCAAGCGAAATGGTGATGATCAAGTTGAAAGATATCGTACAAGACTGGTGGTCAAAGGATATGCTCAAAAAGAAGGTATTAATTTCAATGAAATATTTTCTCCTGTGGTTCGACTAACAACAATTCGAGTAGTTTTGGTAATGTGTGCTACATTGAACTTACATCTAGAGCAGCTAGATGTTAAAACAACTTTTCTTCATGGAAATCTTGAATAAGAGATTTATATACTCCAGCCTGAAGGTTTCGAAGAAAAAGAAAAGAAGAACTTGGTTTGCAGGTTGAACAAATCTCTGTACGGTCTAAAGCAGGCGCCGAGGTGTTGGTATAAGAGATTTGATTCCTTCATTATGTGTCTTGGATACAACAGACTTAATGTAAACCCTTGTGCTTATTTTAAGAGGTCCGGTGATAACGATTTTGTTATATTGTTGTTGTATGTGGATGACATGTTGGTTGCATGACCCAAAAAAGATCATATTGGCGAATTGAAGGCACAACTGGCTAGGGAATTTGAAATGAAGGACTTGGGATCAACAAACAAGATTTTAGGGATGTAAATTCACCGAGACAGAAGTAATAGGAAGATTTGGATTTGACAAAAGAATTATTTGAAGAAGATCTTGTCACGATTTAGCATGCAAGATTGTAAGCCGATTGTAAGCCAATTTCTACCCCTCTTCCTATTAACTTCAAATTATCCTCCAGTATGAGTCCTAGTAGTGAAGAAGAGAGGATGGAGATGTCTCGAGTACCGTATGCATCAGCAGTGGAAAGTTTAATGTTCGCTATGATATGTACAAGACTAGACATTGCACAAGCAGCGGGAGTGGTTAGTCGGTACATGGCGAATCCAGTCAAAGAGCATTGGAACACAGTAAAGAGGATCCTGAGATACATCAAAGGGACCTCAAATGTTGCATTATGTTACGGAGGATCAAACTTACTTATCAATGGGTATGTCGATTCTGACTATGCAGGAGATTTGGATAAAAGCACATCTACAACAGAATATGTGTTCAAAGTTGATGATAGAGCTGTAAGCTGGGTTTTTAAGTTGCAGCCAGTTGTGGCTACATCCACAACAGAGGCAGAATATGTAGCAGCTACACAAGTCAGTAAAGAAGCTATTTGGTTGAAGATGCTATTGGAGGAGCTTGGGCACAATCAAGAGTATGTCTCTCTATTTTGTGACAGTCAAAGCACCTTGCATCTAGCAAGGAATCCAACATTTCATTTAAGGACAAAGCACATACGAGTTCAGTATCATTTCATTCGTGAAAAAGTGGAAGAAGTGTCTGTAGATATGCATAAGATCCATACCAAAGACAACATAGCAGATTTCATGACGAAGGCAACCAATGCTGATAAATTTACTTTGTGTCGATCATCGTGTGGCCTGTCAGAGACGTAAGCAACATGAAGGTACAAGGTAGAAAAATAGTGTGAAGATATGATTGTTCCAATCAAATCTTCAAGTGAGAGATTGTTGAAAAATAAAGAAAACAAATCGGTGTTTTAATGCACCGAATGCTTTCGGTGCAATTGTTAAAAATTGCAACTAAATTAGTTGAATTTGGAAAATGGAAAAATCATAATTTTAGTCATTATAATTTAGGGGATTTATAAATTAGTCCTTAAGTTTCAACTATAAATTCCCTAGCTCATTTAGCTTCAAAACCATCCCAAATCATTCTAGCTTTCTCCCAATACTAAAGAATTTAGAGAGTTTTCTTGAGAGTTATTTTCTCCTTTTTATCAAGAGAAAATTATCATTGTTTTTTCCTTGGTAGATCGAGAGAGGTTGTAATTCTTATTTTCTCATAGTGAAATTCTTCTACCGTTGCCCGTGGTTTTTACCCTATATTATTTAGGGGTTTTTCACGTAAATTGTGTGTCTTCTTTATCTTTATTTTTATTTTCTCAAATTATCAGTTGCGATTTTGCTCTATCTGATAGCCGTCTTCCGCAACAATCACACCATAAAGGTGAACAAGTCACACGATAATTCGAGCGGGGACAAGCTTCAATCACATTTGTGGCGTAAGATCCGAGTCCAGTACTCATATGGTTTGGTAAGGAGTGCATAACCAATTTTCATCATGAACGTCATATTATGCTCGTGAGTAGGGGTGTTCAAATTTTGGTTATAATCGATTTAACCGATCGAACCGAAGTTTTTTTGGTTAATCGATCAGTTGATTTTAGGTTCGTTCGGTTAACGGTTAATATTTTTTCAAACTTTAGTTATCTGTTAATTCGGTTCAAAATCGTTCAATTAACCGAGTTAACTGTATTAACCAAAATTATTATTAAAAATTTAATATATTATATATATTATTAATATATTAGAGTGTTTAAACTTCGATTTTAATCGAAATAACCAACCAAATTAACCAAAAAATATATATTATATCTTATTTATAAAATTCAGATAATTCGGCTAACATAATGATTAACTGGACTTTGTTTGGTTTAGTTAATTATTTTCAAAAAAAAAATCGGTTCGATTAAAAGTTAAAGAAAAAAAAAATCAGTTAATGAAATTTTAGAAGTTCGGTTCAATCGGTTAGTTGAACTAACAGATTGAACTCCCCTACTCGTGAGTATAGATTATGCCAAGGCCTCCTCGATCCTTTGGTTGTCATATTACCTCTCAGATAACGAGAACATATAGTTAAAAGTTTTAAGTTTACACATTCTCTTTCGTCTAGATTGTGAGTTCAATATAAATAAAATTTACCTTCCCTCTCTCTAGGTAAAAATTGTTCAAAAAATTAATAATAATAAATGTTATATTGACATACAAATTTGATATATTATGAAGCTACAAAATTCTTTTTTTTATTAAGTATAAATCTCTTTAAATGATTAAGAACGAAATATTTTTTCCATCAAATATATATATATATATATATATATATATAATATAAATTCGTCATTAAATTGTTATGACTTAAAAATGAAAAAAAATAAATATTAATGATGATTCCTTTTTTTTCCTCTCTTGATTTTAGAGTTTTTGTTATGACTAATTAGGATTAATTCATATCGCACAATTAGTTTTGATGAGTGAGTCTACAATAAAAGTTTTTCTACATACATAAGACTTCGAATTCAAAATCTATTTAAACAATATCAAGTTATTTTTCACCTGAATTAATTTTGTTAATTATTAATGATGATTTTTATAAAATAGTTTAATATACCAAAGTAAGAAAAGAGACACAATAACTTGAAGATGATTTTTTTATTAAAATAAAGTGATTATAAAGTAATATATGTTATAAGTATTATTAATTATTTAATAATAAATATTCAATTATTAGTCATTGATACTTAAATTTGTAACTTCTAGATACAATAACAATTTCTTTAAACATTAATAGAAATTGATTTGTGCAACTTCACGATGATTAGGATTTATACAAATATATATATATATATATATATATATATATATATATACTTTTTAATTTCTATTTCTCAAAAATAAAAATTAATTAATACGTTAAAAACTTAAAATTCCTCTACTTTATGTAAAATTATAAGATAGAAGAAAAAATATCGATCAATTTCCCATCCCATCCCATCCCATCCCATCCCTTGCTTTCCTCCCCAAATCGCTCCCACTACATTTGCTCTTTCTCTTCTCATTTTCTTTTTCAATCCTAATCCTTTGAAAATCACATCACATTTTCTTTTTACATTTTTTTGGTATTCTGATTCAAGGTTAAATTTCATATAAATTCGAAAATACCGAAGTTCAGAAACCTGGAAGATCTGGAGCCATTACCGGCTCCAACCGGCAACTTCCAGATTCGGTACCGAACACCATCCTCAGCCGAACTCCTCGAGTCCGGGTCGAACGGAGCCTTATTATCTCCGAACGGAAACGGCTCCGACGATCACTCCGAAAAGATGATCAAGCGTTCAATGGCCAAGCATGAGTCCATCTCCGACAAGATCCATAAGTACCGAGGCGTTTTGCTGGTTATCTCCATCCCTATTGTGCTTATAATCTTCTTCTTATACGTATTGCCGGGTAAATCGGCGTCTGATGCGGCCGTGCTGGAGGAGATCGAGTTAAATAGCAGGAGAGTAGGGGCGAATTCCAGAGGGAATAGGAATTATGCTGTGATTTTTGATGCGGGGAGTTCCGGAAGTCGGGTTCATGTTTATTGTTTTGATCATAATTTGGATCTTGTTCCAATTGGTTCTGATTTAGAGCTTTTTGAGCAGGTAATTTCTTTTTCCCTACCTAGTAAATTTTTAGATCGAGTTATGTTTACTTGGAATTTAGCTTTGTCGTTGATGTAGTTGTGGATTTAAATCTGAAATTTGGATGAGAACCGCAAAATTAACAGGGTGGTTTATTTGATATTTGTGAATTATGACATAATTTGGCCCATATTTAAAGTAAGGTTCTAACTTAAAGAGAAGTTTCAAACATCAATTGTATGGTCTTTTTCAACTTGCCGTTTTATTTATGTGCCGTGGTCGTGGAAGAAACATTTTCTTGAATTTTATGCAGTTTTCCAAGTATTGATTAGTTTTATGTTGTTTGTTTTGCTCTAGCTCAAACCAGGTTTGAGCTACTATGCAAATGATCCACAGACTGCAGCAAATTCATTAAGTTCTCTTCTTGACAAGGCAGAAAGTGTTGTGCCAATGGATCTGCGATCAAAGACTCCTGTCAGAGTTGGGGTAGGTACCACTTAAATGTATTCTGCATTCTTATTTTTTGCATTTTAAGTCTCATAATTTGCTGAAAAACTGGGAATTCAAATTTGTGTAGGCAACTGCTGGTCTGAGGGCATTAGGAGGCGACGCATCTGATAAAATTTTGCAATCAGTAATTGTTTTTCCAGATGCTTGTTGATAGCATTTACTTTGCCATTTCCCCAAGCTAATGCTATCTTAAAAATATATATTTAGGTTAGGGAACTTTTGAAAAGTCGAAGCACCCTTAAATCTGAGGAAAATGGGGTCAAAATTTTGGACGGCTCTCAAGAAGGTTCTTATGAGTGGGTATGATATGCTAAATTTTGTTGTACTTCTATAGTTTGCTTTTATTTTTATTACTATAACCGGGGTTAAAGCATATTGGCAATCTCTAAATTATAGTCAAAAGTGCTATTCAGTCCTTGTATTTTATAACTGGCAATTTAATCCTTAAATGTTTGATATAGATGCAAACAAGTAGAATTGGTAACAATATTAATGGAAACCATTTAAAATTTTGAAATCTTATAAAGTACATTAGTTGAAATCTGACAGAACTTATAGCTTTCAGATGGTTTTCCATTAACATTGTTACTGAATTTACTTATTTTCTCCAGTATCGAACATATAAGAGATTGAAGTGCTCAGATCTATAGTATATAGATTAAACTGAACTTTTGGGTATAGTACAAGGACTGCTTGATATTTTAACCTTATTTCTGATCAACATGATTGGTCTTATCAAGATGATTTTATGATAAGTGCTCGAGCCTGAGGGGGAACAAAGGGAAACTAGAATAAAGTATTTACATAGGGAATCAGGAACCTTTGGAATTTTTCCTACTGATTGGGCCAATGGACCAAATTTTGACTTTCTTAACTGCCTTCTTTTGTAGGTGACTATAAATTACCTTTTAGGAAATTTGGGGAGGACATATCGGGACACTGTTGGCATAGTTGATCTTGGTGGTGGATCTGTTCAAATGGCATATGCCATCTCTGAGAATGCTGCTTCAAGGGCTCCAAGTTTACCAGCTGGCCAGGACAGTTATGTAAATGAAATGTATCTGAAGGGATCAAAGTATCACCTTTATGTTCACAGGTGCCCTTATTTTGACAAATTAGGATTCTATTAGTGATTTGAAATGATGGATTGTGTTTCCTTTAGTTGTCAATTTTATTATTCGTGTCTCCATTCAGTCATATGATTATGTAGTCTCATGAGCCATGAGAACATATTTATATTGAGATTTCTAATTATATGATTTACTTGTATACTTCTGGCTTTTTCGTGAGCAGCTATTTGCACCATGGCTTATTGGCAGCTCGAGCAGAAATTTTGAAGGTATCTGAAGAGTCTGGGAACCCTTGTATCTTGGAGGATTTTGATGGTATGTTTGAATTTGTTTGGTCACAACTATAACTCTACAAAGAGCATTCTTTTAATTATTTGGGCTGCATACGGCAAGCATGATATACGGATTCAATGAACTCTACAAAGTTTAGTGCTTTGATCAGTGAAAATGTAATCTTCGGCAATTAACCAGACAATGAACTCTTTACTCAAAATTGTAGTTCATCTCTTTATTCCAAAAAACTTTGAATGCTTTAAATAATGAAATAGTCCAAGGAGTTATAACATCCTTCTTTCCTTGGGTAGAATATTTGCCATTTCAGTACTTAACATATTGGGCATTTCATCTTTCTAAGGTACTTATCAATATGGAGGAGAAGAATATAAAGCATCCGCACTGTCATCTGGTTCAAGTATGGAAGAATGCAGAAGGTTGACTCTCAAGGCCCTTAAAGTAAATGATTCGTGCACGCATATGAAGTGCACATTTGGTGGCATATGGAACGGCGGAGGTGGAGATGGACAGAAGAATCTGTTTGTTGCTTCATTTTTCTTTGATAGAGCTGCTGAGGTATTTGCATGATTGAGAATTGTATTGCTTGAAACAAACTACAGAACAAACGGATTAGCCATTCTAACTAATTTGTTTATGAATACAGGCCGGTTTTATTAAAGCAAGTGATCCTGTTGCAAAAGTTCAGCCTCGTTCGTTTGTAGATGCCGCTAAACGTGCTTGTCAAACCAAATATGCAGATGCTAAAACAACATATAAAGATTTGGGCGAGAATAACCTGCCGTATATATGCATGGATCTGGTGTACGAGTACACTCTACTTGTTGATGGATTTGGTAAGCCTATAATTTTGGCATCGAATTCAAGTTATGAACTTCGTACTTCATAGGTATCTTAGGATTCTCATTAACCCATCCTATCTTTTTTTCTTGGACAGGACTTGATCCCTACCAATATATTACATTGGTGAAGAAAGTGAAATACCGGAATTCCTTCGTTGAAGCTGCTTGGCCCCTAGGTAGTGCCATTGAAGCTGTATCATCATGAAGTAAAAATTCCAGGTTAGCATCATAAGCTTTTAAATTACTCGCTAGAAATTTCGATGACTTTGGATTCTTAAGCATCGACATTTCCTAATCGAATTCACTGTCGATAGATATGCAGAACGAAGAACCATTGAACGTTCATATTGTAGATCGGATTTTTTGGTGGGGAATAATAGGAAGGGAAAAGTTTCATTTAATCTTCTTCATTGGTAATATACATTTTTATTAGTTTTCCTGATTTTTATAATTTTTGTGAGATTTAATTGAATTAGTTCATTTAGCTTGTAACAGATTACCAACTATTTCTAATATTGTTGTTAGTTAACAAGTTGTTAAAACACACATTTTCCTCTTGCATTACATAACCTTTTCTTTTTAAGTTATTCTTTAGAAAGTAAACAATTTTTTTTTTTTGAAAGGAAGTAAACAATTTAATTAGATATTTGAATTTGTATTTTGTAAATTAAATTATTTAGAAGCTAATTTCTTACAACGTGGCTTATATCGCGAGTATTTTACCTACAATTATATCTACAATTAAGCGTTCAATAAGCAAATAGGAGGTTAATAAGGATTTTTATGATATTACCATTTTAAGTAAATTATATTAATCAAAAAATTATTTATTCACTCCCGGGGTGAGTATGATATAACTTTAGTATAATATTTGTGAAAGAAAAAAAGTAAAACGCTTATGAATTAGATTTGTTTTCCTAACAACTTTATCATTTTGCTTAATAATTCCATTTAAAGGGCAAAGAAAGTGAATAGAGATAAAACTAAAGCTAGATCAATCGTCTTTCAAAAAAGAGGTTATATATATTGATTGTTTGAATCGACGTGCGAGAATCAGAGGTGCGAACTGTTTGGGAGAATGAAATTCTCTCTGCTCCGAGTCCTCACGTGAGAACTAGTACAAAGCAGAAGAAAGTGGCAGGATTAGAATAAAACACAATAAAGCTTGATTCAAAGCGACAAAAGTAGAATTTTTTTTTTGAGTGATTTCATTAGTAAAAGGAAGTGTTCTTTTTAGAGGTCTCAGATTCGAACGTTGTTTTTATAGAATTTGTGTGTTTATTATCAATTGATTAAGAAAAATTAAGAATTTTTTGTGGATTGAGATTAAGCCATGGTATTACTTAAGATGTAAAAGAAATTATCAATATAATCTATGCTCTTGCAAAGGCTAAGCATGTAAAAGAGGCCATCAATCTTCTAGAAGTTATGGAAGAGAATGGTATTGCTCAAGATGTTGTTACTTATAATTCACTGATAAAGCCGCTATGCAAAGCGCGAAAGACAGATGAGGCTAGACAAGTCTTTGATGAGAAGTTGCAGAAGGACCTCACTCCTACAATTCAGACTTACCATGCTTTCTTTCGTATTCTAAGAACTGGGGAAGAAGTGTTTGAGCTCTTGGAAGAAAATGAGAAAAATGAGCTGTCAACCAGCCAGTGATACCCATATCGTGCTGATAAGAAAGTTTAGTGAATGGTGCCAGTTTGCTAATGTCTTCAAGTTGTGGAATGAGATGATTGAACATGGGGTTGGATGACTATATCATGCATTTTATGGGTCTGTTGTTTATTGACTATGAACATTCTTATACTATTAGCCACTGACTTGCAGGCTCCAAGCCATTTCTATGTCTCAGTTTGAAAGGCCTTCCATCCAGCAAGACATAGTCAAAGCTAAATACTGTTTAATACGTCATATGTTACGTTCTAAGCTGAGCTGAGCTGAGCAATCCTCCTTCTGTAATTGGGAGAGTTTCCTGCAAATCTGGGTGACGATTGATGGATTAAAAGTACAGATGTTGAGATTTGATTTGAAATCACTATCTCATGCTGCCTATTAAGATCCAGTTGGTATAATAATCACTAGCTTTTTAGTTTGGTAGTGCAATTAAGTTCTCAATGTCTAGTTGCCCCCACATTCTTTCATTTCAAATCAAGTAAAACTTCTCCTTCATTCTTTCCCTTCTCAATCCCAATATCCCATAAATTTACATGTGAATGTGAACAGGAGTGTGGATGAAGCAGCACACATCACTCTGTTGTTCCGATTCATATATTTTTAAAATATTTGAATTTGACATTTGAGTATGTTATATATTATATGGATGCGAAATATGATGTTTGGAGAACTTTTAAAGGAAAACTTCGAAAGAAATTGAATCACATAATCAAACATATTTATGATATTTTCAAATTGAATCACGTAATCGGACACATTTATGATATCTCCATATTACTCAAAGCTTCTTTTTGAAGTACTAATGGTTTAGAGACATGAAATGATGATATTATTTAGACACATGTAAATATTCGATTATATGTAGATGTTTTGTTACAAGTTGTTTCCTATATTAGAATTTAGAGGGACCGAGTATTATATCTTCATATCCAAATACAAATAATGAATCTAGATGCTTCGAGAAAAATGAAAAGTCTCAAAATGATTTGTATATCACTCGAGATATAGTTCCAAGTTAGGCTTAGCTCGTTATCTGGTGGGGTGCCTCTTATGGGAAAAAGCTGGTGCAATGCCATTTGACATGAGATGACCACTACCTCTAGATTAGGTGAACTACACGTGGGAAACTACATGGGGTCATTTTCATGACTTTTCCCATAATTGGAACTTAGCTGATGCGTATTCTTACATGCCATCCATCTGTCTTTGACCAGTCTTTACTTGAATGATCATCCCATCGATGTAAAGTACTGATTCCATTATTCTGATTCTTTATTTTTCTTGAACAATCCGAAGCGTTTAGGTTGTAGTCAATAACATGGTGAACTTTGAAAAGGAAAAGATTGCATTTGATTGGTCAATGTTCATCTTCTTTTCCCCCTATCATTTGGTTGGTCTTAACTTTTCTCTCTCTCTCTCTCCCCCCCCCCCACTGGTAAAATCAAAAGTCAAGGTTCTCACAACCAAGTAAAGAGATGCTTTTTCTAGGTATTTTATCAACAATTGATGTATTACACCTTCTCTTTCTCGTATTGGCTTCGCTTAATGTTTTCCACTTTTCTCTTTCATGCAAGCTGGGATAATGGCAACTTTACAAAAACCATTACTTCGAATTTAGGGATGAATATCATATACGAGCATGTATTGCATATGAATATGTTCGATTTTTTAATTATATATATATAGTGAGTACATGGAAAGTAATGGAGGTTGAGGACAAGAAAGCTTGAATTCCCAGGTACTTTGCATTTTAGAACAAGCTGAAAGAAAAGAAAAACACTCATATTCAGCCAAACAAAAGCATTTTTGACGGATAAGTATCAGTCTCTTTTGTCTTTATTCATTTTTTTTCAAATTTGTTTTTTTTTTGCGTTGAAATTTTAAATCAGATTGATCAATTGAATAAAAAATTAATAATTCTTTTAAATCAACACATAACAAAAAAAATTAAAAATTGAACTAATAAAAATCCAGATTAAACCATTTTTCTAAAGTCAACAATTGATGCTCTCATTTTCCCCCAAGTCATCGTTAATTTTATTTTAGTGGGTTTACATTTAATTAATTATAAAAAATACATATTTTCATACTGTACAAAAAAGGGTATAAGATTTTGTGATTAAAAACTAATTGAAGGCTATAAGCTTGCTCAGGATCATGCTGACATGTCACTATGTCAGTAAGAAAAAATAATTAACTTTAGATTTGGTATAAGATTATGGAGGAAATAATCATGTGCGGCAGCCTTAATATACAGTTAAAAAAAGTTGCTATCGATTTTGTAATTATTTAAATAAAAAACCGGTAAAAATTTACTGGAAACATTATTATTTCTATTATTGGGTGTTTTACCGGTTTTGTTATTTTTTCTACCGATTTTGTTATTGTTGGATACTTTACCATAAATGTTAAAAAATATTGATATTTTAAGTAGAAATAATATTTTTTTAGGTAATTTTTACCGATTTTATTATTTAAATAATAACAAAACTAATAATATCTTTTTTTAATTGTATATTAAGGATGACGCACTGTAGAACTTCCAATTATGTAATTAAAAAATCAAAAGAAAAAAAACAGTGAATAATGGTGGGATTCTAGGGTAAACATTTATTTATTGCATCCCACAAATGAAGTACATGGAATAGTTAATTAATATTTTTTATTATTTAAGAAAATTATTTGATACATTCTATTGATATTTTTAGATTTTATATAATTAATACTTGTTTATTTATTTATAAATAAATAATTCAATCAATTAATTAAACTAAAAACAACTTTTGGAAGAAAAATAATAAACAATGATTACCAAAATGGAATTCAAATCGTGAATAAAGAATCTTGGGATAGGAGCATGGAATTTCATTCTCTGGGTTTTAGTGAAATAAGTCTAGTTTTGCGATTCGATGATAATGTATTGATTCATTCAAAATAGATACTCAATGATTAATTAATTAAAAATAATAATGTTTTAAGAGTTAATTAGGCAGCAGATAAATCCCAAACAAAGGAAAGGGAAGAAACGTGGCAAGGAATAGGATTTAACAGAAAGACAAAAATGAAATGATGTATTACCTTTCCCAATACGTAGGAGAAGCACAAACACATAATAAAATCAAATCAAATCTTACGTCAAGACCATAACCAATCATCTTCAAAATTCTCAATCATATATAATAATTGTTGTTATTCATTGAAGTTTTAAATAAGAGTGGAACTCAGTGATGACTCAAAGGATTCAGATGTTGTTAATATTTATATATTTAATATAATTTTGAATTAATAGTATTTTAGTTCATGCAAAGATAAATATTTAAATTAAAAATATAAAAATTTATTAAATATTTAATCAATTAAAGACCTAACTAAATAATGATAACCTCGTGTTCTTAAATTTTTTGATCTAATAATAATTTAGACCACTGTAAATTTAAATATTAAATAAATTAGGGGTTATCTTTCTCCAATTTGTTAGATGCCACGGACTACTCGATGCTTAGTAGTTTCCTTGCAGATAACAAGTGCAACACAACTGGACATGAATCTTCTTCGTTCGGCTTTGGGAACATCGGACAGCTACCGGTCAGCAGCAGGTTGAACTCTTCGGTCCCAAACATGGAAAACAAACACAAGCGCTAATATTCAAGCATTGATGAGGATTAATTGGAGCCATCAAAGGAACATATCACTTCTTGCAGTCACACGTGTGATGTGACTCAATACAACTTACTGAACCAGTCATTTTTCAACGATAGTTTACTTCTAAATCATCATTTTCAATTCCAAGGATAGAAAATAAATGCTAATGATTAAACATGTGTAATTTTTGTGTTGGAAAAAATTGAAAATTTTGAATTATATTTGAGAATGTAACAAAAATTTTGTAGAAAATCCGAGTTAAACTTTACTCGGAAATGTATTGTTCAAAGCCCAACACAATAAACAGAGTTTTAACAACTTTTTACTGAAATTTTCGATTTAAATGATCGGAAACCAAAACGTTTTCATTGGTTATGTTGTCTCTAAACCATGTTGAAGTCGTCAAAACCTCTATCTCCATCCAAAATTAAATTCTCTCTATGGTTCCTTCGTTCTTTTACTTCTTTGCTTTCACATCGATGTAAACAGAACTATCATAAATTCTTCTTTTCTCATTTTTAAACGAAAACCCAACAAATCAAAGAGTCCCAAAGCAGGTTCACTCTTACTTGGTCACAACTGCCTCATTTTCCCACTCTATTAGGCTCTTCAATGCCTTACTTTGATGCTATTCTGCAAGTGAAAATCCCAAAGATGCCATCTTTCTTCACCAACAAGTCCAAAGTTTCTACCTTTTCTTCAAATTTGATAGCTTTACTTATGCTTTTCTTATCAAAGCTTGTGCTAGTTTAAGTAACTTTGCTTTAGGCAAAAAAAATTCACGGGGTTGAAATAAAAATGGGTTTTGAGTCTCATCTCTATGTGCTAACTGTGTTGGTTTGGGATTTTGGTTGAGTGTGAGAAAGTGTTAGATGAAATGCCTGAGAAGAATCATGTTACTTGGAATGTGATGATCACTGGCTTGGCTAAGCAATGAGAGATTGAGTTCGCACGTTTTTTGTTCGAACAGATGCCTGATAGGAATATTGTTTCATGGAGCGGAATGATACCACGTGTGAAAAATTGGCTAATTACATGCATCTCCAGTCCAGCATGAAAACCGGCCAACACTTCAATAACAAAAACAAAATAAACGGTTAGATTCAACTCAGGATAAAACAGATGAACGGTTAAAGTCAACCGTTGGAGCTTAAAATAACCAAGAAAAAAAACTGGCAAAGTGTTGTGGATTGTGGGAAAAAACAGAATTGACAAAGCCAATATAATCAAAGAAAAAGGCAACCACTTTTAACGAATAAAACATACGTAGACACAGCAAAAACTCTTCTTTTTTTTTTATATCTAATTTTAATTTTCTTGTGTAGTTGAAGGGGCAGGGTTCAATTCTCAATCTGGGTTTTGGTTGTAGGGAAGAAAGGGAAAACAATAGAAAAATTCAACAATGGCAATGGTTTTAGGGAAATCATATCTTTTTTCAGCTTGTGACTATAGCCAGAAGAAGAATCAAGAAGGTGGAGGTCCTTTGTATTCTAAGAGAATTCCTGGGTTTTGTTGCAGCAGAAATAGATTTACTTCCTTGAAGATGATGGCCTTGAGGTGTGATTTTAATGCGCAAAGAATGGTCTATTTGGAGAGGGAAATTTTGAGCAAGAGAAGGTTTCATTTGGTTCCCATTAAAGCACAGGTTGGTTTAATTAACTTTATTGTTCTTTTCCAAATCTTGGATCATTCTTTTCTGGGAAAAGTATTTATTTGTTTTTCTTTTTTGAAAGAGAAAGCATATCATTGGTGAATATTGCTTCTTAATTTATTTTATGATTTTTGTTGTTGTTGAAAATCTTGATTTTCTTGGTAATTAGCATTCTCTCTTATTAACCTTCTATCAGTTAGTTCTTAGCTTAGTTTTCACATGCCAAAGATCAAACCTTGAACATTTATATAGAAGTTTTGGAATTTGCTCTTAAATAAATGATACAAAACTTTAACTTATTGGTTTATCTTTTTCTTCTGGTATTGTTTAGTGGAATCAGATACAAAATGGCCTTATTGGTAAAACTCCAAAGTGGTGGGAGACTGGGCTGCAACCAAATATGAAAGAAGTGACATCAGCACAAGACCTTGTAGACTCTCTGTTGAATGCTGGTGATAAACTTGTTATAGTAGATTTCTACTCCCCTTCCTGTGGTGGCTGCAAGACTCTTTTTCCCAAGGTTGTGATAGTGTAAATCCTTCGTTTCTGCATCTATTTGGATTAATTGTGGTGATTGCAGGGCTAATTTTTTGCCATGTTTACAATATTGTAGACTCATAGTTTTACATACTTTGTATTTCATATTTGTTCATCTCCATGGATTCTTATTGTTTTGCTTGTATTTGACTTAATTGTTGTGCTGCTCATATATGGATTATTTGTGACTTCTGATGCTGGGATCTGGTAGATTTGTCAATTGGCAAAGATGAACCCAGATTTGCAGTTTCTTCAGGTGAACTATGAGGAGCACAAATCCATGTGTTATACCCTTAATGTCCATGTGCTGCCTTTCTTCCGATTCTATAGAGGATCTCGGGGCCGTGTATGCCAATTTAGCTGCACCAATGCAACGGTTAGTCTGTTCTCCGTCCCTTCTGATGCAAATTTTATCAGATATGTTCAACCAAATATATGGTACTTGAATTCCAGTGGTGAAAATGCATTACTCCTCGGAAGAGTCACATTGATGAGATTTTCATGGTGCATAATAGTTGTGAATTGGCTTGTTATGAGAACCAAAGCCGATTATGTTGTTTTCACTAAATTTTCAAGATTCTATAGATTGCTGCAGAGCTGATGCAACAGGTTTTGCATATTTGACATTGCCATAACATATGTTTGTCGAATTTTTTCACCATGTTTATCGAATTATTCCGCAGATCAAAAAGTTCAAGGATGCCTTGGCCAAGTACGCAACAGACGGATGCAGCCTTGGGCCGGCAAAAGGACTCGATGAGAAGGAGCTATTGGCATTGGCAGCCAACAAAGACCTTTCCTTTACCTACAAACCAAAACCAGTCCAACCCGATCCGAATCCTGTTCCTGAAAAGGAAGATACCCCGGTATTGAAAACATGCTTAAACTCTAAAGAGAGTGAGGAGAAAAGCTTGGTTGGTGCTAGGGGATGATGTTAGGTTTTCATTTTGGCAGACCTCAAATGCCCTGCCCCCCACAGTTTCCGTTGTAGTACAGTTCCATCTTCATCCTTTGAATGCTAACATCTCATGTTAGAAATGGACAACATAGTAGGGGTTGAAATGCCCTTAAAGGCAACTTGTCTCCTCCATAGAGTTGTAGGCTTTTGGATTTATTTTTTTGGATCCTAGCCTGCTTCGGTTTAAGGGTGATTGAAGAGCAAGTAGCTGTGAATATGTTGAATTAATGTAAAAAATAAAATCCACATTATCATATACACTTATAGCATATGGTTATATAAAATGAAAGCCTTTTTCTTTGTGTTTAGTGTTTTATCAACAAAAAGAAAAAAAAAACTTTATTTCTTTAACAGAATCTAAAGCCTCACTAACCATAAATGTTGTTGTTGTAAGGAAGATGAAATAACAGATACGGAAATTGAACTATAGGAGACACACTCGAGAAAAGAAATGGACCGAGCAGAGCCGACGAGGGAAACTGTAAGCACTGTGGTGTGAGGTATAAGCGATGAGTTGATGAACATTATGTTTTACATTTAATTTGTCTGTATACTTGATCCCTTTCATCGCTTTGCTTAGTACACAACCAATGTTGAATTTGTGAGTTTTTTCTCTGCTATGATTCAAAAGTAATCTCCTAAAGTATAAGTATGATGATACCTACTAAATATCATGAATTATAATTATAAAGATAATTGTATAAATTTAATATATATCTATAATTATAAATAAAGTTGTCTTTAACCAGTTATATTGTTCAATATCATGAAATTACTTTAATCAAGTCCTTACTCCTCCATAAATTGAAAATATTAATCCTTATTTTTTATAATTTAATTATTTTTAATACTTATTTATTTATTTAAAATTAAACAATTTTTAATAACTTGAATCAAAATTTAAGATTCAATATTTTTAAAATTGTTAATATATATATATAAATTTAAATTTAAATCTTAATCAATTTATTAAATAAAAATCCTTGTTTTTATTTTACAAAATTATTTCCAAAAATTTGAATCAAACATATTTACACCATTTATGGATATATTTTAGTCAAAGCTGCGTTCTTGTAATAGTTAATTTCAAATATATTTTTTTTTTTTTGAAAAGGACAGTCCAGTCCTAAGTCTGAACACTTTCAATCAACCAGAGTAATTTATTACTTCAAATCTTTCTACCTAATTTTAACAAATTTGTTTCTGTTACAATTTTAATAAGCAGCAAAATCGAGTCGATTTCTTAATTTTTTTCGTTTGGACGAGCTCTTTAAGTTTTTCTTTCACTTTTTAAAATAATTTAAGATGATTATAAAATAATATCTATCTAAAATTTTTATTAATTATTAGCAACACATACTCTACAGAAACAATTATTATAACGGAGAATAAATAAGACTTTTTGATAATTTTTTTAATTTTTAATTATTTATATTAATTTTTCATATATTTCTAGAATGTCATACGTTTTTTTTATATTTTCTTTCGCTCTTTCTTTTATAGGTATTTTTTTCTTTATTGTTAAAATTATATAATTAATTTAAAGAAAATTAATTTTATGTCATAATTCGATACACTACTTATAAGCGGTTATATAAGATTAAAATATAGATTATAAAAAAACAAAAAGATTAAAATATAAAAATAATATATTTAAGAAATCAAGGCATATGCTACCCACCTATTGATTGACAGATTGGAAATTGCAAAACGAAAGCGGCATCCAATGGATGTGTAAAGTGTCCCTTATTTTATTTGGTTTGCCCATTGGCCTCTTTGATTTCAAAGGGATATCAGTGGCAATCCTCAACAACAAGTATGATATCTCTTTATTAATCTAACCTACCTATACCCAATGCTTGCATAACTTCACCTCTCCTTTTGACTTTCAATACAGACCAAGAAACCTTCTATTTTCCCAATAACCATCTTCATTCTTCACCATTCTCTCTTATGCATTCCTTGGTTAAAGTCAAATTATTACCCCCAAAAAATTGTCTCGTCTATTAAAATAAGAAAATAAGGGTACGTTTTGGTAACGTTATTTTATTTCGCTTTTTCGTTTCGAAAACTACAACACAACATAGATTTAAAAACAAAGCAAGCAAGCAGCAGCAGCAACCAAACATTAACTTGAAAATGTTACGACATGGGGGAAAACCCACATAAAACATAAGCCATGGGTTTTGTCTGCAACAACAGCAACCAACATTATTATTCCTAGTTTTAAATCTTTTATTTCGATAGTAATTGTTTTCAGCCTTCTTTTTTTCCATCATCAGCAGAAAATCCGCCATTATTGCCTCTGTGACCTCCCTCGCCGTTCATCATATTGAGAATCGCATCCATCATCTCTTTTTCATCAAAATTGTGGGCAATCTCCGCATCGCCGTTTATGTCAATTGCTTCAAAGAAGAGCATGCAATGATCAGCCAGCATTTGCTTGGCGGCTTGCTCAGCAAGCATGCTCTGATTCTTTCTCTTAAGAATTTCACACTCCTTGGCCTTCTCTTGAAGCTCTACTTGGCGATCCCTCAGCAACTCTTTCATCTGCCGCGTCTCCTCTCTCATCCTTTCCACCGCTGCTTCCAGAGCCAAAGCAATTATGACATCCTGGGGATCCTGTTTTATCACACCCAAAAAAAACAACTTTATTATTCATTAACAGAATCTAAGGTCTCACTAACAATAAATGTTGTTGTAAGGAAACTGACATAACAGAAATGGAAATCGCACCATAGGAGACAATGAGTGGGGGAAAGAAAATGACCGAGCAGAGCTGACGAGGGAAACTGCAAGAACTGTGGTGTGAGGTCTGAGCGTTAAGTTGATGGTATATATAGAGAGAGCATAGTTTCGTTGTTTTCAAGGTGAGGGTGTTGATGATGTAATCATTCATTCAAAAAAGTCTAGAAACACACGACGTCGGCAAGAAAGCTTCGCCTCTTTGTCACCAGGCAACTCAAATTAACCCTTAACCCGAAAACCGAAAAGAGAATAGGTCATGACTCCTCCAAAAGCGGCACTGATTTCATGAACGCATCCGGCAAGATATTTCCACCGATTTTCCTATGGTCTCTTTTTTTCATACCCACCTCCCCTTCCTTAATTAAATGTATATTGCATTTTACATTTTATTTCCACCGACTTTGGTATCGTTTTTTTTTTCTTTCATGTCCCCGGTTTCATAGCTTTGCTTAGGACAATCTACGATTTTTCTCTACTAACATAGCAGTCTTAGAATCTTTACTAAAGTTTTAAAAGTAATTTAAGAATGATGAGACCTACTAAATCTCATAAAATAAAATTGTAAGGATAATTATATGAGTTTAATTTATATCTATAATCATAAATGAAATTGTCTTTAATCAATCATGTTGTTCACTTTCACTTTTAGAACATTTTACTTTTAATAATTAATGGCTGATAATAAATATATTTTAAAAGATAATTTAAAAATTAAATTATTTTTAAAGCTAAGGCTTGACAATAAAAAGATTTCAAAGAATAATTTAAGAAATAATACTTTTTAATATACATTTTTTAGAAAAAAAAATGAATGACAAAAGAAATTTTATATTAAAAAGTGGGAGACCGAACGTAATTGAAAAATTTTAATATAAAATTTCTTGGATCGACCTGAGTTCAGGTTAGTTTGGATATATTATGGATTAACTAAGTTTAGATTGATTTAATATGGGATTCAGACCCATGCGCATAAAAATTTGGGTTTGGATAAATGATTAGGTTTTTTTCGGGTCCCAACAGATTTTTGTTAATTCGGACAAATTTTGATGCTGATAATTAAAATCTTAATCTTATTTCCGAAATATATTATTCTAGTTAATTATAATAGGAAATGTCACGGTTCACGACAATATGACCATGTGCACAGAACGAAAATCCTGGTTTGATTAACGATTCATTAAATCCCATGGTTTGGTGATCCATATAAAACCCCGCCGCAGAACGAAAAATATGACCACTTGCACCGCAAATTTACGCTAACTAACTGCCACCTAGTCTGGCGTTTCCAATAATGTAGACTTGTAGTTTTATATACTTTGTTTTGCATATTTGCTCATCTCCATGTATGCTTATTGTTTTGCTTGTATTTGACTTGATTGTGGTGCAGCAAGTATTTGGATTATTTGTGTGACTTCTGATGTTGGGATCTGGTAGATTTGTCAATTGGAAAAGATGAACCCAGATTTGCAGTTTCTTCTGGTGAATTCTGAGGAGCACAAATCCATGTGTTATACCCTTAATGTCCATGTGCTGCCTCTCTTCCGATTCTACAGAGGAGCTCAGAGGCGTGTATGCCAGTTTAGCTGCACCAACGCTACGGTTAGTCTCGTTCTCCGTCCCTTCTGATGCGAATTTCATCAGATATGCTCAATCTAATATATGGGAGTTGAAGTCCAGTGTTGAAAGTCCATTACTTTTTGCACGAGTCACATTCATGAAATGTGCATGGTGCATAATAGTTGCGAATTGGCTTGTTGTGAGAGCCGAAGCTGCTTATGTTGCTTTCACTAAATTTTCAGGACTGTATAGATTGGTGCAGAGCTGATGCTACCGGTTTTGCATCTTATTTGACATTGGCATAACACATGTTTGTCGAATTTTTCACCATGTTTATCGTATGATTCCGCAGATCAAAAATTTCAAGGATGCATTGGCCAAGTACGCCACAGACGGATGCAGCCTTGGGCCAGCAAAAGGTCTCGATGAGAAGGAGTTATCGGCATTAGCAGCCAACAAAGACCTTTCCTTTACCTACAAACCAAAACCAGTCTAACTCGATCCGAATCCTGTTCCTGAAAAGGAAGATACCCCGGTATTGAAAACATGCTTAAACAGTTGAACCCTAAAGAGAGTGAGGAGAAAAGCTTGGTTGGTGCTGGGGGATGATGTTGGGTTTTCATTTTGGCAGGCCTCAAATGCGCTGCCCCCACAGTTGCCATTGTAGTGCAGTTCCATGTTCATCTCTTGAATTCTAACATTCATGTTAGAAATGGACAACATAGGTTGAAATGCCATTAGAGGCAACTTGTCTTCTCCATAGAGTTGTAGGCTTTTGGATTTATCTTTTTGGATCCTAGCCTGCTTCGGTTCAAGGGTGATTGAAGAGCAAGTAGCTGTGAATATGTTGAGTTAATGTAAAACATAAAATCCACATTATCATATACACTTATAGCATATGGTTATATAAAATGAAAGCCTTTTTCTCTGTGTTTAGTGTTTTATATATATAAGGGGAAAAAACCTTTAACAAGAATCTAAAGTCTCACTACCCATAAATGTTGTTGTTGTAAGGAAACTGAAATAACAGATACGGAAATCGAACCATAGAAGAAAGACTCGGGAAAAGAAATGGGCCGAGCAGAGCCGACGAGGGAAACTGCAAGCATTGCGGTGTGAGTTATAAGCAATGAGTTGAAGAACAATGTGTTTTACATTTTTTTTTGTCTGTATATATACCGACTTGATCAGTTATAAGCGGCGTGAGTTATAAGCGATGAGTTGTTGAACAATTTTTTTCAGTACACGACCAATGTTGAATTTTGTGATTTTTCTCGAATAGCATACCACTCTTAGAATCTATATCTCCTAAATATCATATTTAATATCTGGTGGAGAATATTAGTCTAGTTAATTCTAATCGAAAATGTCATGATTCTTGCCAATTTACCTACATTGATTATCGACTTATGGTTTGGTCCATATAAAATACTGCCATCGATCAAAAATTATGACATGGCCCTAGCAAGTCTCCGCTAGCCAACATACAGCGGCCTAGTCTGGCGTCTCCAACCACCGCCTCTCTTTCCACTTTCCGCCCCAATCTCCACCTCCTCCCCTCTCTTGTCGGTTGAACCTTTAAGTGTTAGGATATAAATCGAGTACAAGTAATTTCCCTATAACCAGATTTGTGAGAATGCGAAATAAAAGCGGAAAAATAATACCCGAAAATTGATAACGGAGTTCAGCCAATTGTGCTTACGTCTCCGGGATGCTGCAGATCTTTTACTAAGAGAGAAAATTTACAGGTGTTTACAAAACACTCACTACTCACAAGAAATCTCTCTAGTATAGGAAGAAATAAATGTTTTGGGATGATTTTGAAGCTAAATGGGCTAGGGTATTTATAGTTGAAACTTAGAACTAATCTTGTAAATACCCTAAAGTGTGCAGTGGCTAAATGTGTGATTTAACCATTTTTTATTTTAATTTAATATTGGGGCACCGAATTCGGTGCCCCTTTTATCAATGAAAATATGCGGTGCCCCCCCCCAATTTTGAAAATTCTGCTGAGAAACAATTCAGCTGGGCCTCACCTTTGATTACTTTCAACAATCTCCCACTTGAAGACTGATTTTAATCTGTCTTCACACCTCGATCGATGCAGCAGTATTTCTGTTCTTTTATTCTAGCATGCCAACTGAAGCTGAACACAACTTCAGTTTGTCTGTAGTCACCGTCTTTGTCAATATGTCTGCCGGATTTTGAGCTCCACTGATCTTTTCAAGTTTCAAAATCCCATCTTCCAGAAGAGACCTGATAAAATGATATCTCAATTGTATGTGCTTCGTCCTGGAATGAAAAGACGGATTCTTTGCTAGATGGATAGAACTTTGACTGTCGCAACACAAGACATTGTTTTCTTGTTTCTTGCCTAACTCTTCCAAGAAACTTTGGAGCCAAACCATCTCCTTGCTGGCTTCCGTAACAGCGACATATTCTGCTTCAGTTGTGGAGAGAGCAACTATCTTCTGTAGTTGAGAAACCCAACTCACTGCAGTACCTCCTAGAGTATAGACATACCATGTAGTGCTCCTTCTGATGTCAACATTTCCGGCTAAGTCAGCATCTACATAGCCTGTCAGCATCGTATCTCCACCTTTGAAACAAAGTGCTTTGTTTGTGGTACCCCGCAGATATCTGAGGATCCATTTGACTGCTTCCCAGTGTATCTTGCCTGGATTATTCATGTACCTGCTAACAGCTCCCACTGCATGAGCAATATCTGGTCTGGTACAAACCATGGCATACATCAGACTTCAAATTGCTGAGGCATACGGTACCTTCACCATGTGTGCACGTTCTTCCTCCGTCTTTGGTGATTGGTCTTTGGAGAGTCTGAAATGAACACCTAAAGGTGTACTTACTGGTTTAGCATCTTGCATGTTGAACCTGGAAAGTACTTTGTTGATGTACTCAGCCTGTGATAACATCAAAGTCCCCGACTTTGTGTCTCTTTTGATCCTCATCCCAAGAATCTGCTTTGCAGCGCCCAAATCCTTCATAGTAAACTGCTTCGACAATTTTTGCTTCAAGTGTATAATCTCTTGCATGTTTGAGCCTACAACGAGCATGTCATCAACGTACAACAATAAAATAATGAAGCTATTGTCGAACCTCTTGATGTAGCAACAATGATCTGCTTGGCATCTGGTAAAACCACTGCTACCTATGAAACTATCGAACTTCTTGTACCACTGTCTAGGAGCTTGTTTTAAACCATACAAGCTCTTCTTCAACCTGCATACCAGGTTTTTCTTGTCTGCCTCTATGAAGCCTTCTGGCTACCTCATATAGATTTCTTCCTCCAAATCACCATGAAGAAAAGCTGTCTTTACATCTAACTGCTCAAGATGTAAATTCTCTGCAGCTACAATTTTCAACACCAGTCTGATTGTAGACAGTTTTACTACTGGAGAGAAAATTTCATTATAGTCAATACCTTCTTTTTGCTGAAAACCTTTGACTACCAATCTTGCTTTGTAGCGTTTGCTCCCATCGTGCTCTTCTTTGATCCTGTAAATCCACTTGTTGTGGAGCGCTTTCTTGCCTGGTGGTAATTCAGCTAATTCCCACGTCTGATTTGACATAAGCGAGTCCATCTCATCTTTCATGGAAGACTCCCACTTGACTGAATCATCCACCTGCATCGCTTCATCATAGCACTCTGTTCACCATTATCAGTCAGCAACAAGTAGTGCAAAGAAGGCGAATACCGTTGGGTTGGTTTAGGAATTCTGGAGGAGCGTCTCAGTTCTGGTGTGCCTGGTTCTTCCTCTTGAACTGCTTCAGGACTGATCTGAACATCATTTCCAGAAATCTCCACGAACTCAGCAAATTCCTTTGTTTTAGCTTCGGTATTACTTGATTCTGTGGTTGACCTGTCTTTGTACATCACATTTTCATTGAAAATGACGTCTCTGCTTCTGATGATCTTTCAATTTTTGTAGTCCCAAAACCGGTAACCGAACTCATCACCACCGTAACCAACAAAGACGCATTTGTTGGACTTGGCATCAAGTTTACTTCTTTCAACAGAGTTTATGTGTACATAAGAAATACAACCAAACACTCTTAAGTGTGAAAGGTTTATTTCTTTCTTGCTCCAAGCTTCCTCTGGTATTCCGCCATCCAAAGGAACTGAGGGCCCACGGTTGATCAGGTAAGCTGCAGTGTTGATAGCTTCAGCCCATAGAAATTTGGGCAATCCGGCATGTATCCTCATGCTTCTGGCACGTTCATTCAGAGTTCTGTTCATGCGCTCTGCTACGCCATTCTGTTACGGTGTTATGGGAACTATTGTCTCCATCTTGATCCCATTGTTTGCGCAGAAATCTCTGAATCTACTGTCTCTGTACTCTCCTCCATTGTCAGACCTCAACCGCTTGACTTTCAAACCAGTCTCATTTTCCACCATGGCCTTCCATTTTCTGAAGGTATCAAAGACTTCTGATTTCTTCTTCAGAAAATAAACACACACCTTCCTTGTTGAATCATCGATGAAGGTGACATATATAGTGAGCCTGCAAGAGATGGAACTGGGGATGGTCCCCATATATCAGTATGAACCAATTCTAACCTTTCTGCCTTTGGAGTCTTGCCAATCTTTGTAAAGCTGACTTTCTTTTGTTTGCCAAAGATGCAATCCTCGCATAGTCCGACATCTACATTCTTTAGATCCGGCAGCTTCCTTTTTGACAAAAGGGTATTCATCCCTTTCTCGCTCATATGGCCAAGCCTTTGGTGCCATAGGTTTGATTTTCCGTCAGCATCTGCTACTGCAATGATATTCTCTAAATTCGAGGTTACATAGAGAGTACCAGTCTTCTTACCACGAGCAATGACGAGTGCTCCTTTGGTAATCTTCCATTCACAGCCTGAAAAGGTTGTACTATAACCTTCTTCATCAAGCTGTCCAACAGAAATCAGATTTCTTTTGAGGCCATGAATATGTCTCACTCCTGTCAGCTTCCAGGTGGTCTGATTTGGCAGCTTTAGTCGGATGTCTCCTTTTCCGACGATCTTCAAGGTTTCATCATCAGCTAAATGAACCTTCCCAAAATCACCACTGACATAGTTCTCCATGATTTCTCGGCATGGGGTGGAGTGGAAAGATGCCCCTGAATCCAAGATCCATGATTCAATCGGACTGTTGACGCTTAGAATCATGGCATCACCTGTCTCCTCTGTCATGTTGGCAGATTCCTGTGCGCCGGTATTTTTCTTCGGTGCTCGGCAATCTCTTTTGAAGTGACCCTTCTTGCCGCAATTATAACAGGTAAAATCTTTATTACATGTTCTTGATTTTCCCCGTCTGGATTTGGATCTGCCACGATTTGAATTTCTTTCTGAAGTTCTCCCTCTAGACTCCGTGTGCAAGGCTGAGGAGGTTGATGCTTCACCCGCTTCTCTTCGTCGAATTTCTTCACTCAATACCAGATCCCGAACATCGTCGAATTTTAATTTGCTATTTCCCGACGAGCTGCTTACTGCTGT